CACACACACACACACACACACACACACACACACACACACACACACACACACACACACACACACACACACACACACACACACACACACACACATGCGCGCGCGCACGCACGCACATGCACACGCACCAACGCACATGCACGCACACACACGCACTGTGACGCACACACACGCACTGTGACGCACACACACGCACTGTGACGCATACACCCGCACTGTGACGCACATACGCATGTCTGCTCACACACACGCACACACACACGCACGCACGCACGCACGCACATAGACACACACACACACACGCACGCACAAACACACACGCGAACGCCCACGCACATATGCACATACGCACGCGCACACGCACGCGCTTCCACATGGTTGCACACGCGCACTGAGAAGAATAATCCTCACCAATACTGAAATGATTGATTTCGAATAAACCTTCGATGTTGTTGGATTAATTTGATTACATTTATGTAACTGAGCATGTTTAATCTTGGTCAGATACCCTTTGATGTGGTCGTATACACTCATGACTGGCATCCAGCGAACCACGTGTCCTTTGTTGACAATGTTGCCCTCCGACCACTGCATCCAAACTACACGGTAAAGTTATCCCAACTCGTATTTTAATGTTATATTTCTATTTCTATTTACTTTTATGAGTTCATATGTTATTTACATTTAAAATTATAGTTATATTTCTATCGTATTTGTCGTACGTGCATTTTGTTTATGTTTATTTTGCCATTTTGCGAAAGTTTAACTCGGCCTCCAAAGCATGACGAACTTTCAAGCAAAGACCTGATTTTATTATTTATATGCATCATTATGATGCTTTATCATCTAATTCCCGCCTCTTTTCGCACAGATGTCGAACAATTTCGTTTTGCAATTAGATAGAACCTTATAGAGAAGTTCCGATCACGCGGCATACCTTTCCTGTTAGCATTCAACTCAGTTGCCTTTTATTTTTATTTATTTCTTAATTTAAAGACGGTACATTGGTAAAAGATATATCAACATGAGCTTGCAAGCTCCTCACCGTCAGTGAAATGACAGCAAAGTTCTTAATTAAAAGTGCTAGTATAACAAGTGACAAGCAACGACACCAGGGCAGCTATAGGTACCCCAAGTGTCTGTACTTTTACTCAAATTAAATCACGCACACTATGTTATAACATTGTACAAGGCGACACTAAACGTAAACACCATATCAACTAGTAAGGGCCACTGACGTGCACGTACGAGAAACGGTGCACTTAACGTGACAAAGAGTTGTACCCGGTAGCATGTTATCAAGAACGCATTAAGAGGGGTTAATGCGCTCTTGATGTTATGCGTGGCCGCCCTGGCAGCATCTATTCCGCATCATAGGTCACGTAACCATAGCGTTCACACGACCAAATCGTTACCCGGATATTGACATGGGCGTGCCTGGACTGTTGTGACCGTATCTCAAAGTATTCGCTAACGATTAATCCTATTGTACACACACACACGCACGGCAAAAAGTTACGTCGGTATATACCCGGTTATATATATACCCGGTTATATATATACCCGGATCTTACGACTTAACTCGGTTACCTTTTTGTCATGTTAGTGGGCTAACGGTTATGAGCCCCTCTTCATGTTTCCTGCGCGTCCGCCCGCCCATGTTTTAGTTCCCTATAATAGTAGAGATTATGTACTGCCCCATTAACTCGTGAAATGATGTAGATCGCCAGCTGTCGACAAATTGCTCTCAGTCTTGCGTTTAAGAATAGCTATATCGTCATCATTACCCGCATGGCTACACTTACACGCATGAACGCCACCGCAACCGTTGAATCGAGGTTTTTCGCATAGAAATCGCCGGATGAGGTTCAAGTTTTGGACATTGTTCACTTCGACGATCAGTGGGGGACGGAACAGACAATGTGGCCACGTCATTGTGTGCAGCAAACATGGGGAGCTAAACTGCAAGAAAACCTAGTCGTAAGTTCTTGGTTCTGTCACGTAGATCTCAAAATAATCTTCGTTAATCCACTGCTGATTCATGCATAGCCTAGCCACGGCTCGTGAATGCTGTGCGCGAACCTGCCCTTCAAGTTTCACGCAACGTTGACTCGTCAGTATTTTTTAGCAGAAACGTAAACAAATAATTAAGAATACCTACTGTACTCAGTGAAGCTGTGTGTGTAGAAGCAACGGGCATATTCAGATCAGTTACATTAACTTCCTGTGGTATGTATGAACGAGCGAGGTTGGTTTTTGCCATATATTATCAAGAGTCCATAATAGAAGATTATTATTATTATTATTATTATTATTATTATTATTATAGAAGATTTCAACTATGGATTCTTGATATTATGTAAGCTCAGATATATGAGACCAAGTCTGCCTATATTTAATGACAGAATTCTCATTGAAGGTTGTTGAGAATCCAGTGAAGATATACAAGGGCCAGAATCCTGACGTGGACAGTTATTCAGCCTTCTTTGATAACAGCCGACGAGATCACACAGAACTAGAAATGGAACTTCGTAAACGCGGTGTCACAGACGTCTATACTTCCGGAATAGCCTACGACTACTGCGTCGGTATATGTTACACACACACGCCCGCACGGACGCACGCACGCACGCATGCACACACATGTATAACACACACCCACACACACACGCGCACGGACGCACGCACGCACGCACGGACGCACGCACACACATGTATAACACACACCCACACACACACGCGCACGGACGCACGCACGCACGCACGGACGCACGCACACACATGTATAACACACACCCACACACACACGCGCACGGACGCACGCACGCACGCACGGACGCACGCACACACATGTATAACACACACCCACACACACAGGTGCGGCCCGTGCGCGCGGGAGCGGGTGTGTCGCGCGTGTGGGTGTTGGTGTGTGCGTCGTGTTATACCCATGTG